ACTCGCCGCTGGAAAAAGCATGCTCCATTGCAAGCACAAACCGTCATTCTCTTCGACGGATAAAGGTCATGCCGCTGAAGCACTCAAGAGATACTGTGGAAGCTAATGCCGTCGCATGGGTTGCTCCGCTTCTTGTGACCGATGATGATGGCGCCGGTGACGTAGAGAAAGAGGATGGTGACGACGAGAACAGTCATGATCACCGGCCATGAAGAGATTGTTGCATCGGTCATCTTCTTCATGAAGTCACTGCCGCCGATCCTATCACCGTGGATGGACTCGCCGCTGGAAAAACATGCGAGCTCCATTACAACCGTCATTCTCTTCGACGGATAAAGGTCATGCCGCCAAAGAACTCAAGAGATGCCGTGGAAGCTAATGCCGTCGCATGGGCTGCTCTGCTTCTTGTGGCCGATGACGGTGGCCACGGTGACGTAGAGGAAGAGGAGGGTGGTGATGAACTCGGCGATCAGGGCTCTGTAGAAGGACCACGTCTTCAGCTCTGCCATGTCGATCAGCGGTGCCGGTGGTGGGTCGACGTAGTCCTGCTTCCAGCCGCCGTGTTGATCGGATGCTCCTTCGCTCAAATCCTTCTACATTTTATCTCTCTACAACTTCTCTCTCTAAAATCCGTGTCTCTCTAGCTAACTTGCAGAGACATGCATATATACATATAAATATATTTACATATACATCATGCAACACATCTCATGCAAACCCATTTTTCAAATGGGTATTGGGCCATAGCTTAAATTAAGTTGTAAGTCAAAATAAGTACTGACATATGCTTAATTAAGCACGTGAATGAACCTTGTTGTTTCATCTTGAAGGCTGGCTGTTTGGGAGCTCAATGCATATCTTTTTAGATATAGTTATGTACAACACGCAACCAATGCAGACATGGTTGGTTTGCTTCAACTAAACGTGGCCTCCTGTAAATATAAACATGTGCGAATATAAATATGCACATATATATATATATATATATATTTCTATTAGCTCTGTACAAAGCACAACCACTTTATTGTCAGAACAAATGGATTTGGAGCTCAACGTACGTCTTTATCTGCAATTTAACTTGACAAGACAAGAGAGAAACAAACCCCAAAACCATGTGGTCAATAACATGTCAACAGATACGGGTTGCACTCAAGTGAATAACACATTACCCTGTGGCTTAAGGATGTATAATAAATCTCATTTGCTGACATGTTGATTTCCAATACCCGAATTTATTCTTTATATATCCTTGGATTTTTAAGCTAGCCTGTTTTTAGGCGGCTCCAAGTACATTCATAATCCTGTGGCGTTTTCATTGGGTACAGTATTTCGCCAGCTAAGCCTAGCTAATTGCTCTATATATATAACGCTTGCCTCTACCAAGCATTGTCAACACCATATCCAACAAAACCCTCTGTAGCTTCACCACAAAAATTGCAGAACATCTCTGTAAAATTTGCCTGATAGTTGCATGTTTTTTTCAAATTAAAAAAAAAAAAAAAAAACTGCACAGCAGAATGTTAGCTCGTCTTGTCCCACAATCAAGAAACATATCCAGTGCACTTTAAAGACCATTTCTTCTTAATAAAGCCTCATCGTAGAGAACACAGCTTTATTTTATGTCCTTCAGAATCTCGGTGATGGGTGGTAATAAAAATGTAACGATCATTGCTAAGAATACGTCAATTTCGGCTAGTAACAAATCTTCCAGTCAAACCAGGATTGTTGAAAAACTCGTCAACGAGATCATCGCTACAGATATTTTCAGCACTAGTGAAGTGTTAGCCAGTGTCTTAGGTGCTGATTCCTTACCTAGAATCGGCCTTGCTCCAGCCTTCAGAGATAGTCCACCAACCTCACTTCTTCCCTACTGTCCCTTAGCTGAGGAACAACTCCCATTTCAGCGCGAGTTCTCTAATCTTGTAGATTCTTCCTACCTTTTCAAAAATTGCCCGATCCCTCAAAGTGACTGGATTGATTGGGTCGATCGGGTCGAACCTCACTACGAAGCATTATGGACGGAGGTCGGCATTTATGATGCCATCATTCTTTCAAAAAATCGAATCTCTATCGATAAGGAGGCTCTCGTTTCATTACTCTTTTTCTGGTCGAGTTCCACCAATGCCTTCCATCTTCGGTGTGGTATGATTGGTCCGACGGTGCAAGATATCTGTTTTCTTACCGGGCTTAGGCCCCATGGTGCGAAAATAAATTCACTTCTCACCGTTCCTGAAGTAGCTTATGAATATCCAAAGAAACCTGACGCTTCTGAGCGCATTACTACCCATGGCCCTTTTATTAAAGCCAGCAAAGGTAAAGGAACTTCGGTTTCCATCGCCGAGCATATTTCTTTCTTGGTGTACTGGCTGAACAGGTTCTTATTTTGCGTTTCTTCGCTCACAGCCACTAAGGAATTTACTCAATTGGCCTTTGCTCTTCACTCGGGCGAGAAACTTGCTCTCGCTCATTTTTTGCTTTCTTATCTTTACCGTGGCATCGGGGAATATGTTGCTTCCAACTTCAAAACCTGTTTTGGGCCATTCTGGCTGTTACAACTTTGGGAATACGTATATTTCCCTGAACTTTACCCCGATCTCGACTTGTCGACCGCTGTTCCTGTTCCCGGCTATCATTATGCACGTATTCAACCAGGAAAAAGATCGTTCAAAACCATGTTCTCCTTCTTTTACAAACTCCCTGCATACCGGGCCAGTCATCTTTTCTTGCCATTCTCGCCTAAACCGAGGCGACCTTTGTGGCTTTCCTATCCCCCTGCCCAGGCTCCACCGAGTTGCCAAGACGAACATACACAAACCTGGGCCAGTTTCTTGATTGCTAGGGACATCTCTTATAGATGTTCAAGAATGGGCTCTCCAAATAGTAAGTGTGGGGTGGAGTATTACAATCCCCCACAATTTGCTAGACAATTTGGTCTCACCCAACTCGTTCCACTTCCGCCTTTTCGATCTTTCAATACTTCTTTCTTGGAACGAGTAGTCTTCACCTCAAAAGAAACGGTGGATAGAGTATCCTCCTGGTTTAACCGTCTCTGTAACAAATTCTCTTTGCAGCTATTTCTAGAAAATCCTGATACTTCTCCATCCTTTGACTACTGGTGGGGAAACCATATTGCGGAGGTTATGGTGGAGGATTCTCGCACTATAACAAATAGGATTGCCTCCATTTTCATTAAACCCCAAGGAGCCTCGACTAAGCCATCAAAAGGGATCAGTGTGGCTAATCCTGGTTCTCCCAGCAGGACGAAAAAATCAAATTCATCCAAAGAATGTACACACTCATACTTACATATATATAAATACCAAGTTCTATGCCTTAGATCATAAAAACATCTTTTCGTTTATACAGCTGTTGACTTCTATGACCCATTGGGAGTTTCTGATCATGAGGTGGAGATGCCTGAGGCTGACGAGGAAAACGTGGTGCCCCCCAAGAGGCCTAAGGTTTTCCTTATGAATTCTTCAAAGCATAATCTCTTAGACCTTTAGCTTACTTATATGCACCACCTATATATTCCCTTTTTAACCTCAATGGTATTCCAGGTGATCAGGGCAGGGAAAGGAAAAAAACAGGTTACCTCAGTCAGGACCACCAACCCTTTACCTCTGATCGATGAAGAGGAGGAAGAAAATCTTGTCCCCTTGATACCATCAACTTTCTCAGTTGAGACAAATATCTCTACCAGCCGTGAGGTAACTAGGCTTTGTTTTTACTTCCAGTATCAATGTACCCTGCCGATTCTAATGGCATCTTTATGGACAGGTTTCCTCACACTCGGCTAGGTCGTTGTCAAGAGATAGGATCAACACTTGTGATGACATTGCGAATGTTGATCACCCTCGCACTAGTGGAGTCGAGTGTCAATAAGCCACTACTCAACCAAACACTGTCTTTCATCAGTTGGATGGGGCTGAGGTGATTTTTAAGATGATCTTTCAGTACATCTCCCGTATATCTTTATCAAAGTTAGGCATTCAAAAACATTCTTCTCTTGCAGGTTGCCCCGGGCACACAACCAAGAGTACCAAGCCCTTACTCTGCACCAGCATTTGCTACCAGACGCACCTTTGGCCACGTGACTCGGCCTTCACCAGTTGGTGTGAGTATTTATGACTTATTCTCTCATTCAAGCCTTGACTTGTTTTACCAAATTCCTTTTACTCGCAGGCTGGCTCAAATTTTCAGTCCCAACCGCCCCTCCAAACTTATAACACGATCGATGACTTTGATGCCTACTTTTCCGAGATAGCGGCTGGGTTTGATCTAGATCCCTTGATGAGTGAGCCAGTTGTTGTGCCTACGTCTTCCAGTCGTCCGCCAGATATTGAGGGGGCAAAAAGATTACTAGTCGCTGTCGTGTCCCGAGACCTCTCTGAGATGCCAAGTTTGGCTGCTGAGGTGACTGATGCCATGTCCGTCTTGATAGATCATCATAACTTAAGTCAAGAACAGATAAACCATCTTCAATCTGTCCAGAGTCGATTCTCGACTCTCGTCTCTGATTTTCAGCTCTCCTCTCAGAAGGCTGGTGAGCTGTCGTCTACGATCCATGAAAAGCTGCAGGAGCAAGAATCTTTGATTCAACAAGAGAAAGACAATGTTTCCCATTTTCGGACCTTAAAATTAACTCATGTTAAGGAAAACCAGAGAGTAGCAGAGATCGAACGGGAGATAGAACGTCTTAAGATGGAATTGACTGGAACTGCCCGGTCAAGAGAAGGGCTCGCTATTCATATGAAAGAGATTTATCAAAAGAATGTGGAAATTGATCAGCAGAGAGAATCGGTCTCAAAAGAAATTCCTTGACTGAGGGCTGAGAAGGCCTAAGAGGATGAAAAAATGGCCATGTCTAAGAAAGAGTGGGATGAGCTCAGGAGTCATTTTGTTTATCTGCAAAGAAAATGATAGGTAATGACTCTTATAAACTTTTGTACTCAATGAAAACAATGAATGAAATGCATGTCTCTATGGCTTCTGGTTATTTAACCATCTTTGGTTTTATTCTCCATTATCTCCCACATTGTAGGATAATAATTTTTTAAGTATCGGCCATTAACCAGTCGAGGGTGTATTTCCCCGTCAAGATCTTGCAAATGATATGCGTCTCCTTTTAAGACTTTGTAAACCATAAATGGACCTTCCCAATTTGGTGACCATTTTCCATATTTTCGATCATTCACACCCATGGGGAGGACAGTCTTCCAAACCAAGTCACCTTCACCGAAGATTTTAGCCCTAACACGCTTGTTATATGCCCTTGCTACTCGCCTTTTCTGAACTTGTATGTGGTCAAGAGCCCTTAACCTTACTTCGTCTAGGTCCTCCAATTCGATCAACATAGACTCATTATATTTAGCAGGGGTCAAATTGTTTTGCAATGTGAATCTCATTGACCGCATAGTCACTTCCATAGGCAAAACTGCATCATGACATAGGTGAGCATGAATGGAGTCACACCTGTGCTTGACCGTTGAGAAGTCCTATATGCCCAAAGTGCTTCTGATAACAGTTCATGCCACACCCTAGGGTTATCTTCCACCATTTTTTCAATGATGCCTTTTAGCGTCTTATTAGACGACTTGGCTTGACCATTTCCTTGTGCAAAGTGAGGGGTTGAGTTTAGGAGCTTGATCCCGTAATCTGCTGCAAATGCCTGCACTTCTTTGGCGACAAGGGCTGAACCTCGATCAGTTGTGATTGATTCTGGGATCCCAAATCTATGAATAACATGTTGTTTGATAAACCGAATCACATATTCTTGGTGCACTGACTTCATGGGCACCGCTTCGACCCACTTGGTAAAGTAGTCAGTTGCCATAATGATAAAACAATGTTTTTTAGAAGAAGGTGGATAAACTTTCCCTATCAAATCCATAGCCCATCCTCTAAAAGGCCATGGTTTTATGATTGGTTGCAATTCAATCGCCGGGGCTCTATGGATTGGCCCATGCCTTTGACACGCTTGACATCCTTTGGCGTATGTGATACAATCTTTAAGCATCCCGGGCCAGTAATAAGCGTACCTTCTAATCAACCACTTCATTTTTATTCCAGCTTGGTGAGCACCACATATCCCTTCATGGGCCTCTCCCATTACTTTCATGGCTTCTTTCTTACTGACACACCTTAAGAGTAGGTCATCTTTGATGCTTTTCTTGTATAGGTTTCCATCAATCATCACAAACTTAAGAGCTTTGATCTTTAGCTTCTTGTCAGCCTTAGGGTCTGCATTTTTGAGAAAATCGACGATCGGTGTTCTCCAATCATTCTCTTCCATATCGTCTTCCACCTCGATTGCAAAGACCTCTGCCAACAATTCTTCCCTCGCCTTAACGGAGGGTAATGATCTTCTCTTTATTCTAATCAAATTCTCCATTATTCCTTCTGGCACCCTAATGCCAGATGCTATTTGAGCCAAATCATTGGCCTCTTTATTATGCAATCTATAAACATGCTTGACCTTTACCTCTGCAAATTCTTGTAGTAATTGCATGGCTATAGAGTGGAATGGTTTGAGGTGCCAACTTTGGCACCTGAAATTGCTGGACAACTGACCGATCACCAAACTTGAATCACCTATGATTTCAACGGTCTGTGCCCCTATCTCTAAGAGTATTTCAAGACCAATAATCAGAGCTTCATATTCTGCTTGATTGTTAGAACATTTGAAATCTAGAAAGAAAGAATATGTTGTTTTCCTGCCATTTGGTGCAATTATTACAACTCCAGCTCCCTCGACATCATTTGCGCTGGATCCGTCAAAAATTAGAGTCCAAGGAGTTAGTTGAATAGCACATAACTCCATTGCATCATAGACTCCCGGATCAACATCCAAGCATGGATGGTCAGCTAGGAAATCAGCAACTGCTTGGCCCTTCACGGCCCTTTGAGGCACATATTGGAAACTGAATTCCATAAGGGCCAAGGGCCACTTGCCTATTCGTCCAGAAATTATTGGACAAGAAAGCATATACTTAATTAAGTTAGTGGCACAAATCACATAAACTAAAACAGGTAGCATATATATTCTCAATTTGTGAGCAGCAAAATACAAAGCAAGACACATTTTTTCGATTGGCGTATATCGACGCTCAACCGGTGTCAAAATATGACTAAGGTAATACACCGCCTGTTCTTTCCCTACTTCATTATCCTGGGCTAACAAACTTCCGATTGACTCATCCGCGGCTGAAATATATAACTTCAGTGGCTGTTTCTTCCTAGGTGGCATAAGGACAGGAGGGTTAGCAAGATATTCCTTGATTGATTCAAACACATGTTGGTGATGCTTTTCCCATCAAAAGTTTTCCTCTGATTTGAGCTTTAAGAGCGGAGAAAAGGTATGGATCTTTCCAGCACGGTTTGAAATAAACCTTCCCAAGTATGTGATTTGACCAATCAGTCTTTGTAACTCCTTCTTGTTGCAAGGTGGTTGAGCGTCGATGATCGCCCTAGCTTTATTCTTGTCGATCTCGATACCCCTCTGATGCACCAAGAACCCTAGAAAGTTCCTTGCTGTCACTCCAAAGGCGCATTTAAGTAGGTTCATCTTCAAACCATGGGTTCTCATTCTCTCAAATGATCTCCTCAAGTCGGCCAGATGTTTCGCCTTTGTCACCACGACGTCGTCAATGTATACTTCCATAAATTTCCCAATCATGTCATGGAAGATTGCATTCATAGCTCGTTGATAAGTGGCTCTGGCATTCTTCAAACCAAAGGGCATCACCACCCATTCGAAAGTGCCTATGGCTCCCGGACATCTAAATGCCGTTTTGTTAACATCATCCTCTGCTATGAATATCTGGTTGTATCCTGAGTGACCATCCATGAATGACAGAATCTCATTCTTGGCGGCCGCATCAATCAATTGATCGGCCATGGGCATAGGATACTCATCTTTTGGAGTAGCTAAATTTAAATTCCTGAAATCTACGCACACCCTAATCTTTCCATTCTTCTTAACCACGGGAATGATATTGGATAGCCAGTCACAATACCTTATGGTCCGGATGAATCCTGCTTTGAGCAACCTCTCAATTTCCTCCTTCACTTTCATAGTCACTTCTGTTGACATACGTCTAGGTGCTTGCTTGAACGGTCTAAAACCTTCTTTTATAGGTAGTCGATGCTCGACTAGCTGCCTTGGTAATCCCGGCATCTCAGTGTAATTCCAAGCAAAACAATCCTTATATTCTCTAAGCAACAAGATCAGTTCAGCTATAAAGTCAGGTTCTATAAGATCACTTATGTAGGTTGGCCGAGGCTCTTCTTCTGCTCCCAAATTGATCTCCAACAAGGGATCCTAAACATCGGCTTTCAGATCCTCTAGCTTAGCTGGAGCTGCATCTAGCTCTTCTAGCTGAATAATATCTCGACAATCCCCTGACTCACCTTCTTCTATGATTTCGGCCATATTGGTCGACATATCACTCCACAACATCGCCCGTCTTTCGGCGAGATATGCTCTTAGCCGTGCCATGTTAGCTTCAAATGCTAGCATTTTCTCCTTCTCCTTTTGGGCTTGGTCCATTAACAACCTGTTGTTCATCAACTTCAACTATCGGCCTTGGCTCGCAGATAACACTTGGCCTTGATAGTTCCTTGAATAAATCGGATAAGTCCCCGTCTGTTAGATTTTTCCTCATCGTCGCCTTCTCAGGCTTGCCATACTTGTCACAACCAATGAGCCTCACAGGTCCTATTTCCTCCTCATATAAAACTACATCAGCCACATGGACCCGAGCTTCGAAAGGCTTATTGTCTCCCCATATGACTTGGATTTCATCCCCATCCCAGAAAATCATAAACTGGTGGAGGGTAGAAGGGATGCAGAAATGTGGGTGTAACCAATCACGCCCAATCAAAGCATTGTAAGCCGCCCCTGCGTCGACTACGAAGAATGCAGTCATGGTCTTACATTTTCCAACTATCATTTCCAAGGTGACCACCCCTCTGGTCCTGGCTCTGCCCCCCGTGAAATTACTGACTGTCAAGTCAGTGGGAATCAAGTCATCTTCCGTTTTTTGTAGCAACCTCATGGTGTTCATCGGAAGGATATTAACCGCAGATCCATTATCTATCAGTGCCTGAGACACTGGCATCCCTTCTAGGAACACTCTGATATAGAGGGGTTTCAAGTGTTGAGACATTGCCGCAGAAGGCTTCTCAAAAATCACCCTAGCCGCCTGATCTCTCCCAATAGTCACTGACTTATCATCTCGTAGTTTAGCTCTTATCACAGCGACTTTCTGTTTTTTATCTTCAGAGATCGACTCAGATGGGTTCTCAATAATCTCTGGAACTTCCTGACCTTCATCGTCAATCACCTCGACGTCTCCTTCCATAGCGGAGGGTTGATCAGGTTTAACTTCAAAAATATGAGGCAAGGTAAGAACCATATTGCAATTCACAATTCCTTCAAATGAACCAAATTTGATACCCTTTGAACCTTCATCCTGGTCATCCAGGTCTAGTTTGTCATCACCAAATCCAGCTTCATCTTCAGCTTCTTTCATGGAGGAAGACGCACATTTCTCTTCAGTGCATCCATTTCCATCTGCACTATCTTCCTTGGATTTTCCTTTCGGATCACTTTTTGAATCTTGCTTGATAGGTTCTCTCCTAAGCAAAGTCACCTTCCCTGGTTGTGGAGCTGAATATTTTTCTTCCATTCTCTTTAACTCAGTTTTCATCCGCTGCCACCGTCTTACTTGAGTGCGAGTCATGAATGCTGGCGGGATATCCCTGACCCTAGAGAACTTTGGATGACTCACCCTTGACCATCGACCGTCGTCAGTGACTGGTGGCTTGACCATCATTTGCCTATGGTTTGGGTGGTTAACTGATGTTTCAGCTTGGCGAGCCACATTTGAGTTATGCTCCCTCAGCTTCCAGACAGCATGAGTAAGATTCCTTGACCGACTGTTGGAGTTCACTTCTCATCTTCGCTTGTGATGCTCATTGGTATTAGACCTTCTATCAGGCCATGTTAATCGAATTGTCACAGGCACCCTATACGAGGGTGACCTAGGTCTGTTTTCATGACGTGAACTTCCAGGACGTCCTCGAGTGTCGCTATGGAACCTCTCTCGGTCCCTTCCAATGTCTGTCTTGCATTTAGGGCATAATCCTTGCTTGATCAGCGCCAGTTGAGCCTCCCGCAACTCCTTTTCTAAGTCATCCTTAGACCTTGGAGTTTCCTTAACCATTGGCTTCTTTCCTTCAGCCTTGCTTTCTCTGTTAGCTAAAGTATCCTCAAAATCAATTCTTCTCCGTGGCCTGCTGGCCATTGAGACTTCGACCATGTTACTGCTGACCAAGGCTGGGAATGGATCACTGTCAACACTCATCACCTCTTTCTTCTTCTCCGGGAACTTCCATGCCTCCTTCTCGATCTGTGCCTGAATCACATTACGAAAGACAACACAATTATTAGTTGCGTGATTCCAGGAGTTATGATATTTGTAATACTCTCGACCCTTGATTTCATCAACTGAAGGTATTTTATGTACCCCAGTGACTTTGATAATTTTATTAGACAACAGGTGGTCAAAGATTTGTTCTGCTTTACTTATATCGAAAGCATATTGTTTGCCAGCCTCAAAGATATTCCTTTTGGCTGAAGATGATGAGGGTTGAACACCGCTAACAGTCTCTAAGGGCTTAGCTAAAGCTTTACATACATATGGTTTTTTTGAAATAATTTCAACAGCATCGACCTCTAGGTCATCATATACTGTATCAACCATGTGTATTTCATAATTAGGGTCCTTATAATAGGTCCCCCGAGAGGAGTTTTTCCTCTCGTAAGATTTTTTCATACTTGGTAACCCTATCGGCTAATTTGAACAAATCTCCAAAATGAGTACCCTCGAACTTCTTTCGTAATTCAAAGTCTAAACCGCTAAGGGCCAAGTTAACAAACTCTTCTTCAGGCAAAGTAAGTTGGCATCTATTTCGTGCCTTCTTAAACCTAGCCAAAAATGTCTCAACATTCTCATTTGGTAACTGATGGATCCTAGATAGGTCAGACATAGAGACTTCTGATCTGTCCTATAGAACTGATCATGGAACACATCCTGCATCTGTTGCCAAGTATGGATGGAATTTTGTGGCAAGTTTAGATACCACTTGAAGGCAGTCTCAGTGAGAGTGTTAGAGAATAACTTCATTTTATACCAATTATTGTTGCTAAGCGGCCCACATTTTAATGTGAAACGGCCAATATGCTCAAGAGTCGATTGGTTACCTTTTCCTGAGAAGGTTGCAAAGTTCGGCACCCGAAAATTTTGGGGAAGATCCATCCGATATATCCAATCAGGAAATGGGTGCCTGAAAGTAGGTCGAGTAGCCCTTTTTAAAGCTGGTCCATACTGTTCTTGTATGACCTCAGCCAATTGCTCCCTAGTCATGACCATAGGTGGGACTTGATTCTAAAAAGGGACATTGGGCCAAGGGTTATGTCCCTCTTGCCCCCCTGGGTTCGCAGCCTGAGGTGGCAAGACTTGAGGTTGAAAATGAGGAGGTCGACCATTAGGTTGGTTATGATTCCTCCATCTTGGTTGTTGGTGACCATTCACTCCTTGCTCTACTGGATGGACTTGTGGTAGAATTGGAGCTACTGGTCGAGGACCATTAACCATGGGATGTGGCTGGGCACCTCTTTCTGGTTGACCAACTTGTTGAGGAAGAAACTGGTCCACGGGTCTATCATTCTGGTTTTCTAACCTAGGCAGCTAAGCAATAACCTGCCTGTCAATACGAGTCACTAAGGCATCAATCACTTTATTCCGCTGTTAGAGCTGAGTATTAGTCATGTAGGATGAAGCCACCAATGGCTCCATATTTTTGTTGATATCCCAAGCGACTTAGAGTTGGGAAGCCTCCACTCTACTTTCAAATCGTGTCACCATATTGCTGACAGTTTCGGCCGCCATTTGGTGGCTGGCCTGATGTCCCTCTTCATGCTCAGACCCGAAATCTTGCAAGATGGGAGCAGGCTGATTTTCTTCCTGATCTTCCCTTTCAGGGTTAGCTTGTCCAGCTGAAGTCTGAGTCTGTGACCTAGTTTTGACGACCATTCACAAATAAAACACAAGTCCCACCGGGCGTGCCAAAGTTGTTTGGCTCACAAAGTGGTCTGAGGTCGCTAGCCAATGAACGGCTGACCTAGAACGTGGGCGTGCCAGAGTCCTGATGGACTCGAATATTTCTTGCCAAACTATTCCT